GAACCGGACCGAATTTGAACTTATTTAAAATGTTAAAATATTATGTTAAGTCCGATCTGAACTTATCCGACCCAACCCGGCCCATAAGCAACTCTAAGTACATAGATATCCGAAATTTCATGAAAAATAGGGAACACCTGCCAAAGGCTAACGGGAAAGATAGATGAGTGATCAGATGATCAACATCTAAATCGTGCTCTGCGGAGGAGAACTATACAAGCAGTCCCACTATGGCATACATCTCCAATGTGTGAATAAATCTCAGGCCTTGTACACCATAAAGAAATATATGGAGGAATGTGTGGCCTTTACATGAATGGAAAAAGTGTAGCAAAAAAAAGTTATGAGATTGGGATACTTTTGACTAGCCATGGAGTCTGATTATGTCGACTTTGTAAGAAAATGGCACAATTGTCAAATTTACACAAACCTTAATCATCTACTTTTAGAAACTTGTATAGCATGACCACTTTTGGCCATTTTCCACACGGGGGATTGACATCTCGAAAAGATAACACTAAGTTCCCATGGACATGAGTATATTTGGATGAAAATTGATAATTTTACAAAATGGACCGAAATAATTTTCTATAAAATTTTGAAAGTCAAGTAGGTCACAAAGTTCGTTAAAGATCAAATTATTCGTAGATACGTGATACCATTCGAGTTGATTTCAAATAATGGATTGCATTTCAAAGCCAAAGTTTTGGAATTGTTGAAAAGATTCCAAATCCAAAGGCATAAATCATCACCATATTGACTTCAAACAAATGGCACAGTTGAAGCAACTAATAATAATGCAAAAACCATTTCAAGTGATACACTTACAAATACTGGCATGAAAGGTTGGCTTCAGCATTATGAGCCTATAGGACATTAGTTTGAACATCCAATGGAGCTATGCCATTTTCATTGATCTATAATATGGAAGTCATCCTATAACTTTGAAATCAAACCCTTTGAGTCAACATAGAGTCGCAAGTTAGTGAAGAAGATTGGATCTGAGCCAGATTTGAAGAATTGATTAAATTAGACACAAAATGGTTACAAGCTTTGTATCACATGCAAGGTTACCAAGTAAAAGCATTGGAACATCAAACAAGGTTAACTCAAGAAAGCCCATTTTGACCCAAAGGGGAAGTTCAAAATTAATTGAGTACTGAATATTTATTTTCATTAAGTGTGATTCAAAAATCATAAAAATAATAATACAATGATAAATTTCATTCAAAATAAAATATAATGGTAAATTTACCATTAAATCCAAAATTTAATGATTTAAAATGACATAGCAAAAAATCCCAATGGCCAAAATGTAAATTCAAAAATTTAATAATTTAATATAAAACGACCAAATCCATCTAATTAAGAGAGCGTGCTTAGCTAAGCAAGTGCACTATGAATACCAAATATTACTTGTCTTGTCCCATTTGCCTATCTATTATTTATCACATGATCTTTTTCTATTTTGTTTTTCTAGGTAGGGTTTTTTTTTTCTTTTTTAAAATTATACATCACCTTTTATAGTCATAACAAACAAAAGAGTTGACTCACAGTTTCTGATAGGGTTGGCAGCCCAACCCACCGTTGATGGGTTTTGACCTAATCCGACTTCATAGGGTCGATTTTTTTTTTTTTAAATCAGATTTCAAGTCGAGTCAGATTGGGTCAGATAATGTTAAGAAAAAATCAAAATCGAGTCGAGTTCGGGTTTTAGGCAAATCCAACCTGCCCCGACCCAATATTATATAAAATTTTTTTTAATTATTTATTTAATTTATATATAATTATATAATTATATTTTTAAAATAATATTTTATTAATTTCAAGTCAGGTTGGGTTAGGTACGATTTATACAATATCAGGTCGAGCTGGGTTCAGGTATAAAAAAATAAAAAAAATTTGGGTTGGGTCGGGTTCGGGTTTTATGAATATAAAATCGGATCGAATTCGGAGTGAGCAAAAACTCATCCCGACCTAACCCATTGCCAACCCTAATTTTTGACTAGTTGCTTTATTGTTGTTGCGGTTGCCATATAATATCATACTCTATCTTATATATCTATCACTTTCACTTTGCATAAAATTTAACAAATTTTAACTTTTATTTATTATAAATATTTTTTTTGTAAATTATCTTTACTTTGAAAAATAAGAAAAAAGTTGATAGTTATAGTTAAAACTTAAAAGATAATAAGAAATAGTAAAAATTTGAAAAAGTTAGTCATTATAGTTAAAAAATAATAACAAAATAAAAATGTTTTCTTTACTTTTCAAATTAAACATTTTTTAAATTTATAATATATCCTTAAATCCTCATATTTTTATATTTATTTGATTGAAAATAACATTACGTATATAATTTTTTTTTTAATTTGTAATTTTTAAATCTCAACTTTAATATTATATCAACTGATTTAAAAATCAATCAACAAATAAAATAATTTTTTAAAATAATTAAATATATATGAATAAATATTATCTCTTTCACCAACTAGGCATACCAACTCCAACTTGGTCTTTTATTCTTACTCTAATAAAATATATTCATAATTCTATAGGATCCATTGCCCCAACTTTATTTAAATAGTAATTTGATTTAGACTCAACAAAAACCTATATATTAATTTTGATAATTTTAACTAACCATGAACCAGCCATGTCATATAATTCTTGTGCCTTTTTTTATTTGAATTTTTATTTTTTAATTTTTTTCTTTATATATCTAATAAATTATTTTTTTTAAATCAAATAGGATCCATTTGATATTATTGATTAAAAGAATATTTTTTTTATCTTTTCCTTTTTATTTTAATTAAAAGTATATCTTTTCCTTTTTATTTTTTTGGCCATCTTTTCCCAAATAATTATAAAGCTTGGGCATAGCATAATCAAACTACAAAGAGAAGTGTTTTTAAAGTGTTAGATATAGCCAAGAAGTTTATTTGGCCCCCATACTTGTAGATGAAAAATGGGTATGGTGATGCTACCTCTTATTATGGTACTCTAAGCCAGACTCGTTCTTAGACATTAAGAAAAAAGAAATTGAGTTGTATTTTTAGATCAACTATATTATGTTACCTTTTATAATAAAGAGTACTAATGCTGACATTGATGGAGATTCACATTTTGTTGAAGTACGTTTAATGTGTAGAGTTGTATGTCCATTTGGATATGATCAAATGGTTCCGTGTATTCCTTTTACACCTTTAGATGAAGATTTTCCTTCTTGTATTTTTGAGTTTCTTTTTGATAAAGTTCAAAAGAAACATAAAGAGGTTAAATGTTATGTTGTGCCAGTATTTGATAGAATTAGCTATTGTAGTTTTGGATTATTTGCTTATTAGGATGAGTATATTTCTAATTGAGAAATCTTTTTTCATTCGATTACATGATTCTAGGAAACATTTTTCAATTCTCAATGTTGCTTGAAATGACATATCTATCAGCTTAATACTTGTTTTATCCAAGGAAAAAAAAGAACATGTGAGAATCAAATAGATGAATAAACTGCTAGCATTACTGCTTCTTATGCCTTATGTCAATCAAAAGAGCAATGTGTGTCTTTTATAAAGTAAGCTCTTCTCATTTTGCTTGTTCTTTTTTTTTTTTAAAGATGTATATTTTATCTTCATGTTTTGCTTTGTATGAAAAATATATTTAGAAGAAAAGACTTATTAGTAGTGATAGTGAAGAGTCTTGTGATGATGAATATGATGATAGGATTGATGGTAAGTACTTTCTTAATGTTGATGATGTGTTAAAAAAGATGACAATGAAACTAATGCTAATAATATCCAAATGGATAATTCTGGATCTTTAGTTGATATTGATGCTGATAATTTTTTTAATAAGTTTGTCAATGATATTTTTAGTGATGAAATTGCAATCTTGAAAGTGAATGAAGTTGTTAGTGATGTTATTTAAAGTGTTTAACCTTAAATTGTTCAAACTCAACTTCTTCAAATTGTTGTTGCTTCTGATAATGCTCCTCATGTTTCTTTCTTTTTGGTATCAAGACACAAGAATGCTATTAGTGCTTATGATACTTTTAAAACACATTCTGTGAGTGTTTTGGCCAAATTGGATTTTCATGATTTTTCTATTCTTTCATAATATATGAAGTATTTAGACTGTATTTAATAGAAAGAAGGTGAATTTTGGAACACATATCTTTCAGAGTGAATATTTTATCTTTTATAGTTTGGATGTTTTGGGAAAAGCTTTATTAATTGCAAATGCTCCATTGTTTAATAGTTTTTCAAAAAAAGTGTGATTGACATTGTAGTTTATGGATGATGCGATCAAATCTAGATTCAGGCTTGGATGTATTAATACATGTATGTCTAAAATCCAAAGTTTTTCCTTTTGTAGGAGTTGAGAAAACTAATGCAGAAACATAATTGGAAGAGATTATAAAAAAGATTACCTCACTTCAAAAAAAATTAGAATTCTAGAAAGATCATCGGACTAAGTTATGGAAGAAGTTGGAAGTTATTTCTCAATTTAGCTGGACTATCTTTTCTCCTTAGAGCTACATAGTTAACTAGATCTTTTTTTGTTATTTTTTCATTTCAATAGTTCTTTTTTTTTTGGAACTTTTCTATCATAGTGTTGGTTGAATGCTTTTTTTTGTTATCCCATAACTTTTTTTAAAACTCTCTTTGCAATTATCTTTTCCTAAGTTCCTTTATAAACCTTATTCTCTCTTCTATCCAACCTTATTTCACCTTCTACTACCATCGGCTATTGTACTCAACACTTCATGGTCTACTCCACCCTTCATCTCTATGGTCTACCAATGCATCTTGTTTTACTTATTTGTAACGCTTCCTTACCTTACCAAAGAACCTATTTACAATAACACAAAATTTCCAAACTACATATATAGTTAGACATAAAAATGTTCATAGAAATATACAACAAAACCATCGAAGAGTTACAAAGCAAAAGGAAACTAAAATTTCCTTAGAATAATAGATAATATATCACGCATCTAATTAACTTGTTGTGGGATTGTTAATCACTCTTAAAAAATCATCCTTTATGGTTCCATTATAGAAATACAAGAAAAATATCATTAATATAAAATGAGAGATGAATTAAAAATAAAATTTGAATCTTAACAATTGCAATAAAACACTAACTCATAACCATAGCACAACCAAATATAGATGTGAACTTTTAACATGCATAACATTATTTGAAATTATATAATGTTATAGTTGTTAAGCAGGTAAGAGGATTACAAATTACAAAATAAAAATAAGGACCTATTCTAGAATCATGATAATTACGTCATTAAGAAATTGGAAAATTCAAACTTGGAATTTAACTTAAATGGTTCACACTCTTTTAGGAGATGGATTCCTGTAAGGTTGAGATTTAGTTTTTAGCACTTGCCAGTTTCGTTTTTCTAATTCTTCTTGAGCTTTGGCCTTCTTTGTAAAAAAAAAAAATTACAAAACTCCAATACAGTCTAATGGAATTAAGAACCTTTTTTACAAGTCCATAAACAAAAAAATCTCTTTATACATTAAACATAGCCTTTCCTTAGCACCATCTATGACGCAACCTAGTATTTGACTACTTACTAGTTTTGATAATTAGCACTATTTACGTTCAAAATGAATTGAAATTCACAATGTGCTTTATAGGGATCTTATATTTAATTCTCTTGTGAACCAACCTTTAAAATAACATGATCACGATCCATTAATCAAAGAAGAAAGAATAGATTTCCCATTTGAAAAGAAATATATAGCCTAAACAATTATAAACAACTACAAGTGAAAGAATAATAATAAAAAAAAGGATTAGGTTTATACTATTTCCATAGTATTTACTCGAGTTCCAATTGTCTTCAAGCACACTTCACTATCCTTTTGAGTCTTAACCTATAAAATTCTAAGTGAAAAAGTTAAAGGCAATTAATACAATATAAAATTACCAATTACTAGTCTTAAAACAAACTAAAGCATATTTATCCATCAAAATATCATAATTGGGCATATCCTCAGAATGAAACTCCATATCATTTGGAATCAACTTAAAAAAAACAAGAGCTTTATTAAATATGTCAAAAAGGTATATGAAAACAAAGTATTTATAACATACAAAGTAATTCAAAAATAAGAGAAGACAACAATGCTTAAATGACAAGAAACTTTGACACAATTTACAAGTTACATGGGAAATTATGTAATCAAGTAGAAATACCTAAAACTAATCCTAAAAAATGAAATTTATTCTTCTTCTATGTAACAACAAAATGGAAAACTCTCATTAACAAAGAAATTAGTTATATCAAGCCTAGCAGGAATGGTAATATTAGTTTGCTTGTTAAAAATATAAAAATAAGAGATAATTAATAGAAATTAACACTTGTGATTCATTTAAATTATGGTACACATATATATACTAACTTCTAGTATGGTGATAATAGATAAGTTTGATTTTATCTATACTTATAAACTCAATCCTAATCTATAAAATTACAACAACTTAAGTTAAATTACAGGAAGATTTGAATGTATTTATGTTGGGAGAAAAACTAACCAAATGACATAAAAATGATTTTCGTTCCTAAAAAGAAATATAGATCACCTAAGTCCTTAAAGGGAGACTCTGTTAGAAAGTTAAGTGATAAACCTATCAATAATGCATTGGTTATTGCTTATGATGATAAGGTTATCCATAAAAATTAGAAAGTAGATGAGGTATGCATCTTAAGCTTATACAAACAAGAAAGCATTTAAAGTAGAGTTAATGAAACCAAATTGAATGATAAAGCTACTTAATTCTTGATACTAAGCCTTTAGGGCTTATCTCAAACCATGTACGATTCTATACAATTTGCAAACATGATTAAGATGGTCTTTGTCAACAAAACCAATTCATATCAAGTTGTTTCAATGGCCAACCAAAGTGTAGGGCAATATAAAAAATTGTTCAAGTCATTTGTTTTGTCACTCGGCTAAATCTTTCCTTAAAATCTAACTCAAGCCTTTGATGAAAACTTTTTGCCACTAATTGAGCCTTAAACCTATCAATAGTAATATCAATATTCTTTTTTACTCTAAAAAAATATTTATTGCCTATGATATTTTGTAATGATGTGGGTAGAATCAGTGTCCATGTACCATTAGTAACAAAAACATTGAACTCATTTACCATAGTTGTCCTCTATTCTAGTAGTTGAATAGAATGAGTTGTAAAAGTAAGTTCAAAAAAAGAGAAAGAGTATGTTTGGAAACAAGGTAGATCTTTTTAGGTTTAAAGATATTATTTTGTGAACAAGTGATCATTTAGTGTGTTCTGATAGGCTGTGTGTTTGTGTCTGAATTGGTTTGCTAAGAGGTGATTAAGGGTATAGTGATAAAGATAGCAAAGCAATTTATGAACTTGTGAGTTGTGTGTTACTAGTGTGAGTTATAAGATCATTATTTGATGATAGATCAATTGTTGGAGTTCCATTGTTGAGAAAAGATGGCATAACAATATCATTTGAACTATTAGTGGAAGGATATGGACTAGTTACAATGATCAAATTAAAGGCATATACTAGATGCTAGACAGTGTCAATAGTTGGTGATAAGTAAAAACACTATTAACTTTCTCAAATGGAACAATATATTCAATAAATCTAACATGCCTAGATATAAATAGCTTATTGGTAGATAAATCCATGCATTTGTGTGCACTTTGATTAGGTGAGTAACAAAGAAACATATAAGGTCTTGACTTAAGTTGGAGTTTAGTCTCAGTGTCGCGTAAGTCATGGATAACAGAGGCAACAAAAAACCTTTAGTTTAGAATAATTTGGTGTGTGATGAAATAAGATTTCATATGAAGATTTGTTTTGTAAATTTGGCGCAAACATCCTATTAATCAGGTATATAGCAGTTTAAAAGGCATAAAGCCAATAATTTGATAATATAAAGGCTTGATGAAGAATTGTGAGGCCAATTTTAATTATGTGCCTATATTTTCTTTTAACGGTTCCATTATGCTCAAGATATGAAGTGATGTGTTTAGGTCACAGGATATAAGTAAATATGATAATGCTCTATATTGTTCACCATTGTCAAACTAATAGAAATGATTAAGAAGTCAAATTATTTCTATGCTCAAGATATGAAGTGGTGTGTTTAGGTCACAGGATACAAGTAAATATGATAATGCTCTATATTGTTCACCATTGTCAAACTAATAGAAATAATTAAGGAGTCAACCTGTGTTTTAAATGCTTGAAATTTGTGCACAACATCGGCTTATGTTAAATTGGAAATAGTCATGTAAACTTAGAGAAGTGATCTACGAAAATGACATAGTAATGATAGCCAACATTTGAGTTAATGCATGGATTATCACAAACATTAAAAAACAGCAATTATAGTGGTTTGATGTTAAAAAAATTTAAATTATTAAATGGCAGTTTGTAACTTTTGTTACAAAGACATGAATTACAAGCATAAACTTTCTAAGTAGAGTTACAATTAAAGCTAAAAGATTTTAGCATAAAATGTAATATCCTTGATGATGGATGTCCTAGTCTCTTATGCAAAAGATCAGCTCATAATTTAGAACTGATAAAAGTTGATTTCGATTTATTTGGTGTAGTTAAATATAAAAAAACTATTAGATGTAAAAAGTTCATAGTTGTTTCTACTGTGACCTTTCTTTAGTGTTGCTCTCATGGTAAATCCTTCATAAGAAAATGATAAGGAAAAAATTCAACACAAACTTGGTTAGTTTTGCAAATTTTTGAGACAAAAATCATATTTCATTAATTTTGAGGAACAAACAATACATTAGAGAGAATTAAAGATTTATGTGAGATGATGATTTACGTAGACCCAGTCTAAATGATGTTTGAGCCATTTCCTACTAAAATTTCAATATAACCTAATGACTGTGAAATTTATAGATTTTTATATGTCACTTTAGCCTTATAAATTTGAAATTTTTCATGAAATTTATGCCTTAATGTGTTAAAATCTTGATTTTCAAGTTTGCATGAAAACTTTAATCAACTTGGACATAAAATGACAAAATTTGTGCAAACCATATAAAGATGGCAAGAATGATGCCATGTATGAACCATGCAAGTTGGTGGATGACATTCGGCCAAGGCATAAAGTAGTCTATTAAAGCTAATTTGATCATACATGCAAAAAGCTTCAATAAATGCAAAGGTGACAATTATGGCAACCCAATATGTAGCCAAACCAACAAGCCCAATTATATAAAACATGCTATACCAAAGCAAGATTTGGTGTGCATAAGAACTTTTTTAAATTTAAAAGAATCTTAAGCCAAGTGAAAGAATCAAGAAAATTTGTTATTTAAATTTAAACCAACAAAATATCCCATTTGAAATTCAAATATATGTTGACTTTGCAAGACACCTGCATGTTAGGGACAAAATAAGAGAACAAGTTATATATAGAAAATAAAAAGGCATAAGAAAGAAAAAATGAAAAAAAAATAAAAAAAGCCAAAATGATTATGAAAGAAATCCAAAATAAAGATGCCTTTACTTTGACAAGTCTCAAAATTTCTCAAGTCTAAGCTCCAAAAGTAAGCAAAAGGTTATAAAGCCTAAACTATTCTTTTACCTTACTTTAACCTAAGCCTTACAATATAAACCAATAAAGATTTATTGATCTTGAATCAAGTATGTAAGTCTACATTAGTGGAGAAAGAATGAGGAAAGTAAACATATAAAATATGCTCTAACTTTAAATTGATATGTAATGGTATATTTTACATACTTTTTTGCTTAAATTGCATGTATAAAATAAAGATAGATTAATTTCACATACATGAAAGTTGCATGAAATTGAAAGCTTACTTTTGAATAAATTTCATGTCTAACTATGTTATAACTATCTTGACATTATACCATAGTGCATGATTGATAACTTATGAAATTTTGACTTTAAGTGCATCTATTTTGGTTGTTAGCATTGTTAATTTAAGAATTTTGCTTAAGAATAAGCAAAAAAACTAAGTATAAGAGTGTGATGACTATGAAATTTATAGCATTTTATAGGTAATTTTAGCCTTAAATTTTTGAAAATTTTCATGAATTTTGTGCCTTAATATATTAAAATCTTGATTGTTAGGTTTGCATAAAAACTTTAGTTAACTTGGACGTAAATGGAAAAATCCATGTAAACCATGCAAAGGTGAAAGTTTATTTTTGAAATTCAAGATTACATTTCAAATTTAAATGTGTTTAAGCTTTAGTGAAACTGACTAGGTTCATCCCCCCTAAGCCAACCCTTGTATTATAAATAGGCTATTCACTTGAAAATCATTCTTTGTTTCACTTTTCACTTCATTTTCATTATTTCTCTTTCGTTTTCAATTTTAGAGTTTTTTTGTAATTTTTTTTATTTTCGGTTATGGTGACAAATTAGACTTTATTCTTGTTTTCTAAAGCTCATTTTCAATACAAGTTCTGTTTATAATTTTATTAAAAGCTCTTTTCCATTTACTTTACACGCACACTTTTTTACTTTCAAGTACTTCTTTTACTATTCAAAGTATTTTAGCTTTCAGTTTATTTTTTACTTTGCTTTTACATTCGGCCAACTCATTTTCCTTTACAAAGAATTCAACTCTTTTACTTCCAAAGTCCTTTATATTTCAATATTGCTTTTTTTTTTTTCTTTTCTTGCAATATTCGGCTAACCCCTTTACTACAAAGTGTCCATCTTGTCTAACTTGGCATTTGACCTTTACATTTTATTTTTAATTTCAATACATGCTCCATCACTGTTTCAATCTATCTAAATATAGTGTGAAAGAATCTATTTTGGTACTTGATCTTACATTCAAAACATAATTTTCGAGGGAATGATAACTCTACTTTATCAATGTATTACTTAGATATGACTTGTGCACTTGTACACTACAAAGCAACTATCAATATCTCCATATTCAAAATAAAGAGACAGGTTGCTAAAATCATTGGCCATATGATGTGAGGCTGCAAAGCCCATCACCCAATTTTGATTGTTTGTTGTTCCTAAAACTTGAGCAAAGTGTGCAACTGATTTTAGTATAGATGAACCCTTGTAGTTCTTACAAACTTTTACATTGTGATTGAATATGTCACATATTTGACAAGTAAGCTTGTTATTGCTGCCATTGACATTAAATTGATTGAATTTTTTTTCTAGCTAAGTTGTAGTTATTGTATGGACTGTTTGAGCTATTACTTTTAAAGTTGTTGCCTTATTACTCTTTACCCCCAAATTCTTTCCCTTTTCTCACCATGTTGGCTTTCACAATCAATGCAATTATAAGTTTTTTTTATTTGATTATTACTTTAAAATCTGTCAACTTGTCATGCAATTCATCCAAAAAGATAGCCATTTTTCTTGCTTAGATTACTGTTGAAATTTTTTTCAATTCCATTCCAAGACCATTGAGAATGAAAATTATTAAATCATCCTTAGTTATAGGTGCTTGAGCCAAGGCTCATTTACATGACTTTTCATTGATTGCATATACTTTGCTACATATTTGTTTCCTTTTATAGATAAGGATAACTTTTTCTTGAGAAACAAAACTCTCAATCTGGTTTTGTTGACAAATAAGTTTATGAGTTTTATTATTGTTTCATGAATGACTTTGATGTGAGATTATAGGTACCATTATTTCAGTGATAGATGTAACAAGCACATGTAAGATCAACTTGTCTTGTCTAATCTATTTTAAGTATTCTAGATTTCACATTGTTTTATCTTGGATGGTGATGGTAAGGGTAAGGAAGAGATATGTCCCATTAACATAGCCAATGAGATTAAGGCCAATTAAAAGTGTGTCAAACTATAAATACCAGGAAGCAAAATTATTACTATTATGTTTGAGTGGAAGTTTAGTGATAGTATTGATTTGGAAAATCTTAAGCGAAGGCTTGTTGAGTTTGCAATTGGAATGATTGATGCCATTTGATTGAAAAAAAAAAGGGTTGCTAAGCTTAAAGAGGCTTCGATACTATATAAAAACAATAAATAATGAATAAAATTAACATTCTTGATTCATCTAAATTATGGTACACACACATATGTATATATTGGTTTTTAGTATGGTAATGGTGGATAAATTTGATCTTATCTTCAATTACATACTCAATTCCAATTTATAAAATTACAACAACTTAAGTTAAATTACATTTAGATAATTGATGTTACTAAGTTAGCTATGGGATAAGATATTGTTGCTATTTAAATCAATACTTAAACTAATATTGTTGCTGCTTAGGATGATCCTTTGTAGAATATTGACTATTGTGTCCTCGGTTTAGCTACCAGTTTAGCTATTGTGTTCTTACAACTACTGTCATAGGTAATGTAATTGCCTAACATAATTGTGTAAGGTAGTAGCCGTCATAATGGCTATAGTAGCAACTAATGTGCTAGTGTAGTTGATATAGCTACTATTGTTACACCTGTTGCAACTTTTGCTTTTGTTGGGCAATTGGTGAAGCTGCTATTTAATTTTAATAGAAACATAAAAAATTCAAATTAAATACTTTAAATTATAGATGTTTTAAATATCTGTATTTTACTCTACATTTATCAAATAGTTATATAAAGTTTATAAGGTTATAAAAGAAAAAACGAGTTTTTGAACAATGTATATAGCAAGATACAACCATAATCAAAGCTTTATATAAGACATAAATCATAAAGGGATTATTTGAAATGATTTCATGGACAATAAAACACAAAATTCCTAAACAGATTTAGGATGTAAAAGAAACAAGTCTTACATGGTTGGAAATAAAAATTTGAACTGGCTCAATTTCTGCAAAGAATCCCATCTATTTAGAAACCAAAAATCAAGTTACAAACATGCAAAAATGGTAAAAATCAGTAGTTAACAATCTTATTGACAATAATAATAATAATAATAATAATAATAATAATAATAATAATAATAATAATAATAATAATAAATCTAAAAAACAAAACAGAGGAATGCATGCTTTGTTCACCATAGTAACAACAGTTTCCCAAATCTTCTTTTTAAATGGTCTAAATAAGACATAATGATACTTCATATGAAATGTCACAAACCCTATCCCATCTTTAATCAAACCTTTCCCAATGTTCTTTATACCCATTATCACCACCATAAAGGCATTTCTACTTTTGCAAATAATTGGCAAAGTTACCAAATTTTCAAATTTCAATCATGTGCACCTTAATTTCTTTTAGATTGAATAAAGTAATCAAATAATTTGAACCTAATTCAAACTCAACAATGACTTGACTTCTAGGAATTTAAAGCAACCATAGGATAAAAATTAGTGTTGAAACATTTTCAATAATAATATATTACATGTGATGGTAAGAAGTTACGTTCTTTTGAAAAACATGATTATTTATTAAGAATTGTGTTTGAAAATTTATGTATGTCTAAATAGACTCATATTTGAAGTATTATGTCTATACAAATAAACATCTACTTGAAACGTCATGTCTATAAAAAAAGATGTTTATTTTATTATAAATAGATTTATAATTTGGGAAAGTAGTACAAATTTCAAATATAACAATTTATGTTAAATTTTCCCTCTATTGTTCAAATAAATTTCATATTACTTCTATAAAGTTTTGCTGTAAAAATTCTTTATAAAAGATCAATAGTCCCATTTTATACCTGTAAATGCTAAGTGGATTGATTTCGTCAATGCAAAACATAGTTAATCATTGAGTTTTAACATATTTTTGAGGTCTATTGTCAATAACTCTTTTACATACCAATTAATCAAGTGGTGAGGTAAAACTTTAACGTAAGTGGGCATCATTACACACTTTAAAGCCTTTCATCAATTTCTCAAGATTTTTTATATCCCAGGTTCCAACAACCTTTTGGTTTTATTTCACAATTTTATGAAAATTTTTGATCAAGCTTATAGGTGATAGACAAGGTCATAATCATGATTAATCACAAGAAGTTCATACCCCAAGTTCAAATCAAGCATGTTTTGTTTAGGGATTCTTGCAAATTCTTTTGGAATAACAATATTCTTGTCACAAGCATAAGGTATTAGATAAGTTTTCTATTAACAAATTTTCATGCATTAAATATTGTCTAATGGATAACACCACACATATCAATAGCAATATTTACACCCTAAACAATTGCTTAGCACCATTATTAAAATTTGGTAAAAAAGGTCAAAAAAATTCTCAAATAAAAATTTGATAATCATTTAAATCCCTAACATTTTATTGCAATCAATCAAATTCTTAATTTTTTATTTCAACTCAAATGAGCACTTAATTAGACAAAATCTAATCACATGACAAAATTGGATCAATTAATCCCCGAGTTAAAATCAATTGAACTCTTAGTGAGATCTTGAAAGAAAAGGAAAAAAAGAATAAAGAATAAAAGAAGAAAATTGTTATTTTATGTAATTTTCACATATATTAATTGTGCTACATGACAAACTTTCATAGATTTTATTGATGCCACAAAATTTTATCTTAGTTGACAAAACATTAACGATCTTAAGTTTTTCTTCCAAATAAGAGCTTAATTAAATGCCCAAAATATTGAAAGGGTTGATTGATTGCAATAAAAAAAAAAACTTTGATATTTTTTAATTAGAGTTCGAAGGTTTTTTATACCCTTTACCTTTAAAATTATTAGAAATGTGCCAAAATATGGTTGTTTTTTCCATAATTAGTTCAAGTCAGTTCCAAACAATAGTTATTATTGCCTTAATGAGTTCAAGTTGATTGAAATTTAACCATTTAAAAAGAAATATAATAATAATGCAAAATGTAATTATGTTGTAAAGATGGGTGTTAAATTCCAATTTGTATTGCCATCTAACACTTGGAACGGTTTGCCATAGAAAACATCGAAGACTTTTAATGAAACCTAGTTTTAAATTGTTAAGATATATGTTTATATGCATGAAATTAAAAAGAATGTATATAATCTTGATGGGCTTTTATAACAACATAGTAAGGGTGTTTGCTGGTTATACAACATTAATATTTGGGGTTTAGATAATAACATTGGCTTGTGAAAGTTGTAAGCCTTGGATTTGTCCAATCAATGATATAACCATAGCAAATTTGTCATGAGTCTTCATATGAAATATTAATAATATGTTTGACAAGTGTAAAAGAGATAGCATTGTTATTTTTTATAAGATCATGCTTATTAATTAAATGAATTTTATTAGATGAATTCTACTTACATTGTCAAATTGCATTTTTGTAATTCTGGACTTTGAATGGAATATAAAAAACACATATTATAATTATTGTTAATGTTATTTTATGCAAAATGATTTTTTGGAATTATGATTCATAATTTACATTGGCATGGTGATTTGGATATAAAAATAATAATTATAAAATGATTGTTAAAGCATTTGAAATTAGAGTTAAATGTATAATGAACTATAATTTTATATAAGCATATTGGTCATATAAGTAAAATTTTAATTTATTAAATATTTAGAAATATTCTTACGACCCTTTCTGGTGATGGACATGATTTTGATTAAGACCATAAGGCTAATAATGTCCATCATAACAAGTGAATATGTGTATGATATTTTGATAGTCACCTGATAAGTCCATACATTTATGGTTCTCTAATATAATTATATTCTAAAATGATATATGAAATATAAGAGAGATCAACTTACACCAAAAAAGTTTTACACTTTTTTCTAATCATTGATTTTAATAAATTTAAGGGATGAGATTAAACTCTTTTTTTTTCTCTTTTTCACTTATCTCTTTATCTATTGGATCTATTGAAATCAATGATTAAAAAAAATTTAAAACATTTTAGTTTTACATTAGCGTAAGTTGATCCCTCTCCATAAAATATTTTTTTGTATATATATGTAACTTTTTGACAAAATTAAGTCTTGAGTTGACTATAATAAGAAGATATGAACAAGAGAAAAAAGAATATTTTGTTCCACCAAAAGATTAGAGGACTTTTTACAACAATTTATTTGGCGAATAAGACTATACAATTTATAGTTCACAATTTGGTGGCAGAGACATTAATTTCTTGGGATATCAAGAAATATATAAAATGGACAAATATGAAACCATCATGACAAAAATAAAGATAAAAATTATCACTATGAAATAAAAGAAATTATGACAATTGTACAAAGAATATCCTTAATAGTTGAATTGCTATGAAAAAAGCATTCTTTAAAAAACGAATGCACATATATGGTAAGGGTATTGGTTGAACCTTCAAGATATAAAATATGAATAAATTAAAAGTTTCACCATGTATTATGAAAAATTAATATAGCTATATTGGAAATTTAGGGATAAGGTTCAAACTTATAATATAAAGTCATTCATAAGGGAAACTTGACTCAACGTTTAGTATAACATCAAGTCTTGAGTTCAATGAACCAAAATACATCACTTGTATGTGATTGTAAGTACTATAATCTTATATTTTCATCCCAAGTAAAATATTTGGTACCCGTAATAATAAAAGAATGATGAGGTTATACTCTTAATAGACCCATAATATAAATATGTTAAAGTATTATAGTTATAGGAACACTCTTGATGGGAGCTACCCATATGAGTGTGAAGTATGGTCTCTTTTAAGAGTTAAAGGGCTTGGCTCTTACAGCACTTAGGAAAAGAGGATGTAGACACATGGCTAAAATAATGCCTTTTGATATCAAGCAATCATTAGGTTTTGAAATCCTTGTATGAGATGAGTTCGGTTAACCAAACGGAATAACTAGTTCAAAGTATAATCTATCATGCAATTTCGATTAACTTTAAATTGTTTTCACTAAGTGAATGTTCAAATTGTAAGATACCTTTATTTACGTAATTGATTTTTAGTATTATCATAAATTTGGAATATTTTGAAAATGATGGAGAATTGTTGGAACATTTTCAATAATAAAATATTATATAAATTGTCATAATGTATTGATCAATGGACTAACCACTAGACATACACTTAGGAGTTACTACCAATATTTTTGATTAGGTGTGATTGGTCACCTGATTGAATCTGCCTTATTTTAAATATGAGTCTTGAATTTGATTCGAGTATCTTTAAAAGGTATATTCTAGTCTATGAAACCATATTTTAGGTTCAAGAGTGCGATTACGCGTAAGAAAGTTATAACACCCTCATAGCCCCTATCCAAAGGATCATATCGGTTTAATTTCGAATTATCCAAGCCATGAAGTTTTTTTTGTAATTTTACCAAATAATTTAATTATTGAAAATTTATCTTAAATTACTCCAACAGTTTGATAACAATTTAAGATAATTTTCTTACATTAGAGTATTCATGAAAACTAGTGTCCCATTCTGAAAAGACTATATCGTCGGATTCATTAAATTTTTTTTTGTAAAAAAAAATTATTTATGAAAATAATTTATTCTAAGAAACATCTTCCAATCTGTTGGTAAAATTTTTCATCAAAAATTATCCTCCAATCTATTGATAAGATTTTTCTAAAAATATATATTTTTTAAGAAAATTTATTAAGTCTTCTAATAGTTGAGTAAGACTTAATTCAAGATTTAAATCCTTTACTAGTTTGGTAAGATTAAAATTTTTTTTAAAACATTTTTTTTTAATTTGAAAGGAAAAAAATTGATTAGAATAAACAAAAATTATCATGTAAATAATATCATACAATAATAATAATATGTCATGCAATAATAATAACCATGCAAAAATAATATAATCATGCAATAATATAAATTATCATGCAATTAATATAAAATATCATACAAAAAAATAATCTTATTAAAAATAAATAAATAAATAAAGTATCATTACCAAATTTTCTTTTTCTTTTCTTCATTCCGTAATTTAATTAGCAATAATAATAATAATAATAATAATAATAATAATAATAATGTAACACATAAATAAATAAAAAATGAAAATAAATAAAAAAAAACAAAATCAAAATCAAAATCAAAAAGAAAATGAAAATGAAAAAAGAAAAACCTGCAATTAGGTTGGGTTTGAAGTCGAGTTGCATATAGATCCTATTTGAGTTTATGTGGATCCTGAGTTCCAAAACAGTTTCGTTTTAGCTTGATATAAAAGGGACTTCTCAGCCATTTTTCTAGAGAAAGCCTTAGCCCACTATCTCTATAATATGATTCCCCTATGACCTCTTTTTAAATAGCCCCCACCAGAAACTTCAAAGCCACCAATATCCCAACGAAAAACCCAAAACCTAATGTTGAGAAATTCAACCGGCGATCAAAAACTTTAAACCAAATCCAAAAAACTTACAACCCTAAAAATGGCCACTGCCTTCTCATTCGGCCGCTATGAACTTGATCGAAAAACTTAAATATTCAATTAAAAAATTCAACAGAAATCCAAAAACTCATAAATTTCCAAAAAAACAAAAACCCAAATTCACCAAAAATCACACAAACACAAAATTCCCTAGGAAAAACCCAAAATTTGAAATCAATTCAAACTAAAAATAAAATCCCAAATAACCAAAATAAAAAATCCAAACCTCAGATTAAACACCCAAAATCCACACTTAACGCCCAAAACCAAATCCACGTCCAAGAATAAATTGTAACCAGAAACTGATTTCAATAATACCAAAGATACAAACCTATAACCAATACCCAGAACCAGAAACCCAAAATTTTTTAATGCTCCAATTGATTGCCTTCCATTGATCCTTTCTTTTATGATTTCTATGTCTCTATTTGCAGGGATTGAATCCCTTTTATTTGGGAACTAAATCAAATTGTTTTTGTGATTAAGTATGTGATTTGATTTAATTTTGTAATCAAAATACAATCTTTCATTTTTTTATTTTCCTAATTTTTTCCTTCTTTTTTGGACATTTAACTTTTTTAAAAAACAATTAAAATAAAAATAAATAAATAAATAAATCAAACTAAAATTAAATTTTTTTTATTGGGCTCAAAGCTTCCCAATCGAACCCAATTCATTTTCGAAAGCTTGTTTCCAATCCCGGATAAAATAAGGTGTCTATAGTTGCCCTTCTTTGCACAATTTTTATGAAACAGAAATTGCACAAAGAAAAAAGACATCCATTTTTTTCGAGTTCAGACAAACCGAAAATTTGAAATCCAAAAATTCACAATTTGGAAATTCAAGGTTTCATAAAATTTCAAAGATTCACAACGCTTTATAACAAGAATTGAAAGATTTTAAGATTTCAAAATTCGCTAAAGATTCGTGATGATTTCAAATTTTGGCAGAAGTCAAGATTCATAAAGGTTTGCAAAAATTTCAAGTTTTGCAAAGATTATAAAAGTTTGTAAATGATTCAAGATTCTCAAAGGTTCCATATTCACAAAAATTCTAAAGTCACAAGGATTTTAAGTTTCGCAAAGGCTCCAGATTCACAAAAGTTTCACAAGATTTTTCATATTTTCAAATGTTCTAGATTCACAAAGGTTCCAAGTTTTGGAGAGGTTCCAAATTTCTAAGAATTTTCAAATTCACAAAAATGAAAGATTCGCAAGACTTTAGATTCACAAGAGTTTAGATTCGCAAGAATTTAGAATCACAAGAACTTTAGATTTGTAAGAATTTCAGTTTCGCAAAAATTTTAGTTTAGTAAAATTTAAGGTTAGCAAGAATTTTCAAATTC